CTCTGCCACTCTACTTCTTCTGCAGGGTCACCAGAACCTGTCTGCGTAAATGCTCAACCTGGCCAGCTAAAGGAACTGGATAGCCCAGCAGTTTTCAAAGTATGGTCCCAGATCAGGAGCAGGTTATTAGAAAATGCAGAATCTCAGGCCCCACCCCCAGCCTACTAAATCAGAGACTCTGGGGGTGGGGCCCAGCAATCTGTGTTTCTATGTTTGAGGTTTTTTTTAAAATAGACTTTATTGTTTAGAGCAGTTTTAGTTTCACAGCAAACCTGAACAGAAGGCACAGAGATTGTTTATACCCTCCATGTCCCCCCCACACTCAGTTCTCCCACTATCAATGTTCCCCAATGGAGTGATACCTACATTGACACATCATTATGGCCAAAAGTTCATAGTTTACATTAGGGTTCATACTTGGTGTTGTACATTCTATGAGATTAGATAAATGTGTAATGACATGTATCTATTATCATTAAAGTATGTTACAGAATAGCTTCACTGCCCTAAAACGATGTGTGTTTAATAAACTCTGCAGTGAACCTCATACATACTTAAATTTGAGAACAACTGATAGACTTTAAAACATAAAAAGCAAGGAGTGTTTGAAGATCTTCCTTACTCGTAAAGACCTATAGGAGTTTTTACCTACCAGGGAAGGAGGAGAGGGCAGGACTGAAATACACTTGTGTTGTGCTTGTTTGTTCCTCGCTCTGTTCCCTGGGCTAGAGTGCAGTGGCGTCATTATAGCTCACTGCATCCTCACACTCCTGGGCTCAAGCAATCCCCCTGCCTCAGCCTCCTGAGCACTGGCACTACAGGCACACACCACTATGCCCGGTTAATTTTTCTATTTTTTGTAGACATGGGGTCTCACTATGTTGCTCAGGCTGGTCTCAAACTCCTGGCCTCTAGTGATCCTCCCACCTCAGCCCCTCAAAGTGATAGGATTACAGGTGTGAGCCACTACGCCCTGCCCTTGTACTTGTGAATTGATAGTATAGTAAAAACTAGGACTTATTAGTGTTAAGTAGGGATTTACCTTTTTTAAAAAAAAGTTCAGTAGGCACAAATCCCTATTGGAAGTAAATCTTTTAGTATAAGTAGTTACTTACTACTTGTCACCAAGTTGCAATTGTTCTTATTATTAATTTTTAACTCTTTAATGGCAACTAATAGTGGCACATCTGTAATTCTAGTTGACATTCTTTGAACTTAAGTGAAGAAAGATGTTTGTACATCTAAATTCAAAAGTATTAAAATGTCAACAAAAGTTCAGTATTTCTACTCATTCTCCATATGGTAAAGCTTTGACAATAAGTTCAGATCATCATGTCTACTGATGTACCCTGAGATTTGTGTGTCAGTTATTATCTCATGACCCAGTGAGATAATATATTTTTATAGCTAAAGTAAAATATACTATAGCAACAGGTTACTTCTTGAACACCTTTATAAAGTTTTTGGAATTTTTATGGTAGAATTCAAGAAGCTGAGTGAACATACAATTTCTGATTTGTGGTGTACTTTGATCAAAATTAATAGTATAGTTCCTTTAGTGGGAAATGTTATCTTCAATCAGAAGCAATCCTGATTACAGTACGGTCAAAAACAGAAGTAACAAAAGGACTTTGATTTCTTTTCTTTTTTTTTTTAACTCTTTCTCTTCCCTCTCACTCACATGCGTACAGCCAGCACAGTGCCCTAGCATCGTGGATACTCAATTTATATTGCAGTGAGATCATAGAAACCGTGTAGGTGTATGGCTCACCTTTAAATGCATGCCCCCTTTTTCTGAGCTCATGATGCCTATATTACCATTTGCTATATTTAAATAAAATATTCCATTGGTTTCTGACAAATACAAAGTTATGATCATCTACCAATAGCATTTCTAAGGCAGAAACCTTATGTCAGAAGACATTATATGTTTCTTCTTTTAATATGTTCATGAAAAAGCATGTCCCAAGGTAGGAAATTTTATTCAGTCTTAACACCAGCAGTCTCTGATGATATTGCATAATTACATGAACATTATGTTAAAGGTATTTGCGCTGCCTATATCTAACGTGCTCCATGATGCCATCTAGTGGCATAAGCCCTATAGAAGGTGCAGCTTTATTACTCCATGCTTTTGGGACAAGTTGTGTACTTTTAAAAAATCAGTTTTATAGTAAAAGTTTAATGGAATAACCAAACATAAGATGCAAAAGAATCTCTTCATTATAAGACCTCCATTGAGGATTCTTAGATATAACACCAACATGTACGTAACGAAATAAAACATAACTAAGTTATACTGTACCCATTATCTTTTGTACATCTAAAGACTATCACTATCAAGGCCTGGCTTGCTGGCTCATGCCTGTAATTCTAGCACTCTGGGAGGCCGAGGCGGGCGGATTGCTCAAGGTCAGGAGTTTGAAACCAGCCTGAGCGAGACCCCATCTCTACTAAAAATAGAAAGATATTAATTGACCAACTAAAAAAAAATATATATAAAATTAGCCGGTCATGGTGGTGCATGCCTGTAGTCCCAGCTACTCGGGAGGCTGAGGCAGTAGGATTGCTTGAGCCCAAGAGTTTGAGGTTGCTGTGAGCTAGGCTGACGCCACGGCACTTACTCTAGCCTGGGCAACAAAGTTAGACTCTGTCTCAAAAAAAAAAAAAAAAGACACTATCAAGAAAGTGAAATGACAGACCACGAAATGGGAGAAAATATTTGCAAAACATATATCTTGTAAGATTCTAGTAGCCAGAATATATAAAGAGCTCTTACAACTCAGCAACAAAAAGAAAATTTAAAAATGAGTTAAGGACTTGAATAGACATTTCTCCAAAGAAGATATACAAATGGCCAATAAATACATGAAAAGATATTCAACATCATTAAACATTAAAGAACTACAAATAAAAACCACAATGAGATATCATTCCCTATACCCATTAATATGGCTTTCATAACTTCAAGAAACAAAACAACCCCTCCCCCCAAAAAAAAAAACAGAAAATAGGATGTGGAGAAATTGGAACCCTCATAAATTGCTGGTAGAGAGGTAAAATGGTGCAGTCACTGTGGAAACAGTTTGAAAGTTCCTCAAATAGTTAAACAATTACCATATGACTCAGCAGTTCCATTCCTAGGTATATTCCCAAGAGAAATAGAAACAGGTGTTCAAACAAAAACTTGTACACAAATGTTCATATCAGCATTATTTATGATAGCCAAAAATTGAGAAAAGATCAAATTTATATCAGCTGATGAATATGTAAATAAAATATGTTTAGATAATGGAATCCATATAGTGGAATATTATTCAGCTGTAAGAAGGAATAAAATACTAATACCTTGAAAATATTAGGCTAAGTGACAAAAGCCAGGCAACAGGAGGCCACATATCATATGATTCCATTTACATGAGATATCTACAATAGGTGAATCCACAGAGATAGAAAGCAGATTAATGGTTGCCAGGGCCAGGGAGAAAGGAGGAATGGGGAGTGACTACTTAATGGGTATAGGGTTTTTTGGAGGGTTGTTGCTAATGTTCTATAATTATAATAGGTAATGGTGATGGTTGCACAACATTGTGAATATACTACAAGCCACTGAATTGTATACTTTAAAATTATTAAAATGGTGACTCTTGTAGTGAGTGAATTTTACCTCAATTTTTAAGAAAATATTCATTGATGGGCAAGACTTCAGAGCCTTTTTTATAGTTATTATAGATATATTTTTTCATAGTTGTTGCTAGTATATATGTATTCTATTTGTTCTGCTTTTTTTAACCTAAAATTATTTGATACATACTTTTCATCTATACAGTTTCCACAGTTTCTATTTTGGTGGCTGTATATATTTTAGTGACTGTATGCATCATAGCTTAATCTTTCTCAAATGTTCAATGGATTTCTCTTCATTATTTTTCAATTTCTAAGAGTCCTGCTATAATGTTTAAGCAAATAAGAATGTTTAAAACCCTTCATAGATATTATATTAGTGTTTCTTCCACAAAACGGGTATCTCTGAACTCTCAGTCACGGTTTTGTTTTGTTTTAAGAGACAGAGTCTCACTCTGTTGACCCAGGTGGAGTGGAGTGATACATTCGTAGCTCAACTGTAACCCTGAACTCTTGAGATCAAGCAATCTTCCCACCTCAGCCTCCTGAGTAGCTGGGCCTATAGATGCACATTACTGCACTCACTTCTCTTTATTTAATATTTCTATTGGTTGCTGGGTGTGGTGGTTCACACCTATAATCCTAGCATTTTGGGAGGCTGAGGAGAAAGGATCACTTGAGATCACTTGAGACCAGGAGTTTGAGACCAGCCTGGGCAACATAGAGAGACCCCATCTCTACAAAAAATAGAAAAATTAGCCAGGTGTAGTGGCACACAACAGTAGTCCCAGCTACTTGGGAGGCTGAGGCAGTGAGCCATGATGATGCTACTGCATTCTAGCCTGGACAAAATAACAAGATTCTGTCTCAAAAGAAAAAAAAATTCTATTGTGTTTCTTCTCTGACTGCTGTTTAGTAAATATGCATGTACTAATTTATGACCCTGCCAATAATGGATGTAAATGGAGGAGATTAATGTCTCTTGAGTGTCTAATGTGTTCTAGGCACTGCATCTAAATCCTTTCACATTTATTATTTCATTTAATTGCTACACCTACTCTGTTATGAAGTGACTACAGAAGTTAATAAGCAGATGAGCAAGGATGAGAACCCAGCATTCTGTCTCCAAATTGTGTCCTGTTCTTCCACAGCTTTACTACTATTGGTTCTTACCTCTTTTGGTTCCTCTTTATTAGAGATTCAGCATTTTCCCAAGTGATTATTAACTGTACATATTTACTTATATACAGTCTGTATCTTCTGTCCATTATTATTAATAGATTTCAAATTCAACATATCTATTTTTCTCATAGACAGAAGGCATGGGTCAAAGCTTTATTATAATTTTTTTGCTTTTATTTACTCCTCTGTTACAGGCTCTTGATGGAAATGTATATGACCACCTCAAGGATTATTTAATAGCCTTCAGCCGGACTGAGCTAGAAACATGCCAAGCTGTGCAGAACACATTCCAGTTTTTGTTAGAAAACTCTAGCAAGGTAAGTTACCTTTAGTGCAATATGTGGCGTTTTCCATTTTAGAATCTAAAATGTTTTTGCATACAAACAAAATGAAGGTACCAATGATATCAGAAGAATGCTTTAAAGGACAAATTTCCTGGAAACAGCATTCCTTCTAGCAAAGTTGGAGGATATTCTGTTCTCCTTGTTGATACATTGGTGAAGGTGGCATCAAGGGTGAAAAAGGAAGTGATAATAAAAACTAACTCACAACATCAATCCATGGCCATGTGCATTGGCTTTGAGAAGAATGGTTTAAAGAGTTTTATCTTCTGGGTGGGTATGATGGCTCATTCCTGTAATCCTAGCACTTTGGGAGGCCAAGTCAGGAGGATCACTTGAGGCCAGGAGATCAAGATCAGCCTAGGCAATGTAGATCCCCATTGCTACAAAAAAATTAAAAATTAGCCGGGTATGGTATCACATCCTTCTAGTCCCAGGTACTTGGGAGGCTGAGACAGAAAGATCACTTGAGCCCAGTAGTTCGAGACTGCAGTGAGCTATGATCGTACCACTGCACTCCCACCTGGGTGACAGAATGAGACCCTATCTCTAAAAAAAACAGAGAGAGAAAGTTTTATCTACCACTCAAATGAATTTTGAATGTACCCAACTCAGTCACATGGGGGGAAAAACAGGTTATGTGTAAAAAATAATAACAGAGCACAAAGGAGACAGTAGCATTTTATAATTGATTAAAAATTTAATATTATAATGTCTTGGGTTTTTTAAATTAAATTTTACTATTTATATGCTGTTATTATATAGTTTCCTGACTGCATGCATTTATAAAAATATATACATTTTATGACTACTGCTTTAAAAGATCAGGTCAATTCTCTTTTTTGTCAGGAAGGGTGAGAACTGGCTAATACCTTAGAAATTATTTGGAAAGGGTCCAGAATATTCATTTTCATGTAGTAGTATCCAAAGACAGGAAAGAAAAGAGACATAGACTCTTCATTCTGAATGCTTCTTATGTATATATTCTTTCTTGTTTTCAATGTACCAGAACTCTTAATTCTATTTTTAAAATTTATTTATTTTATTTTATTTTATTGATTGATTTTTTTTTTTTTTGAGACAGTGTCTTGCTCTGTTGCCCAAGCTAGAGTGCAATGGCATCATCATAGCTCACTGCAACTTCAAACACCTGGGCTCAAGCGATCCTCCTGCCTCAGCCTCCCCAGTGGTGGAACTATAGCCACATGCCACCATGCCTGCCTAATAATTTTTGTAGAGATGGGGACTTGCTATGTTGCTCTAGCTGGTCAAGAACTCCTGGCCTCAAGTAGTCCTCCCACCTCTGCCTCCCAAAGTACTAGAATTACAGGCCTGAGCCACCACACCTGGCCCCAATTCTATTTTTAGAAATATAAAAAAATTTTAGGTACATATGGAAAATAAAGATTATTAGCCTTGTGCTTTAGAGTCCCACCACATATCTATTTTCCTATATTTTTACCTCCCAGAATCTAAGAAAATGTATAAAAGGATTGATGTGTATAAAGAAGAATGAATGAATAGATGGATAAGATAATAAATTATGTGAAAGAAAATGTAGAAAAATGTTAACTGCAGAATCTAGGCAGTGGGTATATAGGTATTTATTGTATAATTCTTTTTATTTTAGTGTATGTGTAGTTGAAATTTTTCATAAGAGAATGTTGAAAAGGGGTTTATAAAAGCATCTTGGCTTTGTTCCTTGTATGGAGTGGTTGATTTTTGACTAATGATCAAATGTTTTCTGTTTATTTGTCCATTCAGATGTTCTGTTTCTTTTTCAGTATATTTTAATAACTTACATCTTCCTACACAATTATCCATATCATTTAAATTACCAGACTTGATGGCATAAGTTGCCTTATAAACTTGTTTGCCTCAAGAGTTGTCTCTATTTTTTTTTTTTTTTTTGAGACAGAGTCTCGCTTTGTTGCCCAGGCTAGAGTGAGTGCCGTGGCGTCAGCCTAGCTCACAGCAACCTCAAACTCCTGGGCTCAAGCAATCCTTCTGCCTCAGCCTCCTGAGTAGCTGGGACTACAGGCATGCGCCACCATGACCAGCTAATTTTTTCTATATATATTAGTTGGCCAATTAATTTCTTTCTATTTATAGTAGAGACGGGGTCTCGCTCTTGCTCAGGCTGGTTTCAAACTCCTGACGTTGAAGCAATCCGCCCGCCTCGGCCTCCCAGAGTGCTAGGATTACAAGCGTGAGCCACCACGCCCGGCCTCTATTTTTATATTTAATATTGTTTGTGCTTTCTCTCTTATTTTGATCATACTTACCAGTCTTTTTATTAACCTTTACCAAGAACCAGCTTTTGCTCTGCTTCTTAGTGTTGTTTCTGTTTCCTTAATTTTTGGTTTTATCTTCATCACTCTTTCTACTTTCTCTACTTGTTTTTTTCTTTTCTTTTTCTTCTTCTTTTTTTTTTTTGAGACAGTTTATCTACCATTCAAATGAATTTTGAATGCACCCAACTCAGTCATTTGGGGGGAACAACAGGTTATGTGTCAGTGCAAAAAATAATAACAGAGCACAAAGGAGAAAGTAACATTTTATAATTGATTTAAAAATAAATACTGTAATTTTTTAGTGTCTTGCTCTGTCACTCAGGCTGGAGTGCAGTGGCTGGGTCATAGCTCACTGCAGCCTAGAACTCCCAGCCTCAAGCAATTCTCCCACCCCAGCCTCCCAAAGTGCTAGGATTATAGGAGTGAACCACTGCACCTGGCCTTCTTTCTACTTTCTTACAGTTTATATTCTTGTTCTTTTTCAAGCTTCTTTTTCCATTCTTTTTATTTTATTTCATTGAGGTAAAATATATAATTTATCATCTTTATCATTTTAAACTATGTAATTGAGTAGTAATACATACATTTATATCCTTCTTTCTCCTTTATCCCTTTCTTTTTCTATTTAGGTCCTGTGTTTTCAATCTTTCTTGTTTTCAAGTAAACCCATGTAAGGCTAAAAAGAAATTCTCCTTGTGCTTTACTGCATTCTGTGATATGTAGGGCTTTTGTTATTTCTACATTTTTTCCCCTTTATTAACCCATGATTATTTAGAAGTGAGTTTTGCCATTTCCATTCAGTGAGAGTATGTGGTAGGATGCCATTTTTCATTTCTAATTTTATTAGAAATTGTACTTTATTTTTATTTTATCACATTTGTCCTAATTTTATCAGAGAGGTTATCCTCTAACAAAATTCCTTGAATTTTTTTCCCTAAGACTGGTACTTTTGGCTTATAAAGCAGGTAAACATATAGTTATAACAAATAGCTCATATTTTACACATTCTTAACAATTTCCTGAAAGTTTGTAGCATATTTGTATATCTTGAATACCAACCATAAGTTTGGTATTACCATGCTTATTTTATAGAAAGGAAAATGGACTTAGGAAGCTTATGTGACTTGCTTGAGGTCACACACTCATACATAGTGCTTTCCATGATCTTCTATTATATTATCTCTTTGGCTTATATTATTTTAATAGAAAAAGAATTAAGAATTTATAAACTAGTTTGGACACATAAAGAGGTAAGCTTTCATTTTCTGTGTTTACTCAATATGAGTATCTCGCTCCCCCGGGATAAGAAATAAATGAGATGCTCTTACATTTAGATTGAAAGTTGTAGGAATAAAAATTTAATAAGAATGATGTGTCTAGGAGATGTGCCCTTTTGTTCCAGGTACCAGAAGAGCTCACACCTACAAGTTTTATGCCATGTGTTTTTCTGTCACAAAGAGCTTGTTATGCTGCTGTAAGCAATCCAGTGATTTGATAACCCAAAGGGAAGTTTGAAACTCTTTAGATTTTTTATTTTACACCATTATTACTCTGTCTTTGGGGGGGAAAAAATCTATTTTTTTCCACATGTATAAATGTAACATATTCCCAAAGATATCTTGGTGGCAATTCATACTGACATACTGGGAATGTTAAGGTGCTGTCTGTATCGTTCATCCCCTAAATGGAAACAGCTGGCCCTAAGAGCTTTTGTTAAATTTTAATTATTTATGAAGCCTGCTTTTTCTCCTTAATATTTTATGAAATGCTTTGTATATGTAACTGAAGCAGATGTTATCATAGATATGTTTTCTAGAATAGTAACTGCATAGATAGCTCTACTGGCCTTTATAGTTTGTTTATATGTACTTTCTTTGTCTCCATGAGGAAATTCCTACTGATTAATAACATAGTTCTTTTAACAATTCAGAAAAAACAGTGTTATTCTATATTTCTTTGGAAATTAAATTGTCTAATGTTATATTAACCAAAGACTAACTGAAGACTAACCAAAAAAATTAAATTTAATAAAATGAAGGAAAAGACTATATGATCATTTCAATAGACACAGAAAAAGCATCTGAGAAAATTCAACACTCTTTTATGATAAAAAAAATATACTCAGGTGGGCGGATTGCTCGAGGTCAGGAGTTCGAAACCAACCTGAGCAAGAGCAAGACCTCATCTCTACTATAAATAGAAAGAAATCGATTGGCTAATTAATATATATAGAAAAAATTAGCCAGGCATGGTGGCGCATGCCTGTAGTCCCAGCTACTCGGGAGGCTGAGGCAGAAGGATTCCTTGAGCCCAGGAGTTTGAGGTTGCTGTGAGCTAGGCTGATGCCATGGCACTCACTCTAGCCTAGGCAACAAAGCAAGACTCTGTATCAAAAAAAAAAAAATACACTCAGCAAACTAGGAATAGAAAGGAACTTACTTAACATGATAGCATTTGTGAAAACACTATAGCTAATATTAAACTCAATGAAAGGCTGAAAGCTTCCTCCACCAAGATTAGGAACAATAAAAGGATGCCCACTTTTACCACTGCTATTCACCATTTTACTGGAAGTCCTAGCCAGAGCAGTTTGGTAAGAAAAAGAAATAAAAGGCATCCAAATTGAAAAAGAAGAGTTAAAATACCTCTGTTTGTGGATGACATGATTATATGTAGAAAATC